TTTAAAAGGAGGCCTTTAAAAGGTAAGCACTCAAACTGAAGGACATGCCACAGACTTTTTACAGGACTAACCCTCTCCAACAGGCAACTCAATCTGTATAGGTAAAACTGAGTATTCCTACCACTGGAAATGATATTCTAGCTACCTGACATCGGCTGGAGGAATACCAGAGAGAGGAAAAGGTCAAACAGGTGTTCAATAGGGAGGTGATTTTCTTCTTTAAAGAGACTGGAAAGCAATGATTAATGTCTTTTGACTACCAAGGGATAAATCTATGCTGGGACTGTGGATGAACCTATGAGATAACTGCTTCCTTTTATGCATTTCCTGGTACCCAGTTCCATCAAGTGACTTCTGATCTCCAACCCATTTATTACTATCATGGCTCAGTGCTGTTTAGCTGTTCCCTTCATGAGAAGATCTCCATGTTCTGGGTGTGGTGTGTATGTGCCTGTCTTTATCTGTCTCTCTTTCTCTACCTGTCCCCTCCCTCTGACCCTTTTTTTCCCCTCCAGCCCCAAAAAGTAATAGAACATTGTTGTCTGTTGATGTTCTAGAAATGTAAGTCAAAGCTACTTTGTTGAATGATTGTTTTTTGCAAACATGTCTGTGTGACTTGTGTGTTCACAATAACAGGGATCAGAATAACATGTGTAGTAACAGAAAAAAAATCACAGGCTGCTAAAACATTCAAGATACTCAGGAAAGGATCTGATTGCTTGTCATTCTGTACCTTTTCTGTTACATATAAACTGAGGTCTTATCTAAGGAAGACAGCTGTTCAGTCATTGACACTACAAACATATTTGCTATGTATTGAACTCACTAGTATGGAAACTAATGTATGGAAGTTCTATTTTTATATTCTTCTTCTAATGAACTAGTTGGAATTTTAGGATTGTTTACCTTGATTCATTCATTATTAAGCTATTTGACCTTGAAATTGCACTAAGGCTTTTGAAATACCTTGTATATTTAGGAATCTATTGACATATATATATATATATATACATATATATATATATATACACATATATATATATATATGCACACATGCATATATACATACACACACATACATATTTATGTTCCCACCCCAAAAGTTGCAGTTGTCAGATTTTGATAAACTGAATAATTTAAAGCAATCCAAGAAGGTTTGCTATTTGGATGAATGATGCTGGGAATATTTTCGTAATGTGAAGAATAACCTATTTGCTTTCACCTACCTTTTACTGTATTGTAGCTCTACCCTGTTTTGTAAGTTTAGATTCGGATATTTCAGGTTTTATTCACTTAATAAACACTCATTAAATGCAAACTATTTGCAATTCAAAATTATCTGTATGTGTCTGTATTTTATCATAACTGGGCCCAATTCAATTCAACATACATTTATTAAGCCACTATTACAAATAGTGTGTATAAACAGAAAAAAAAAGCCCCCAGCATGTTGGCAGACTCCACATGGAGAAGTCAAAAGATGATGCAGCCAAGTGTAGTAGAGAAAGAAGAGTAGATGAGTTAGATGGACACTGTTGGAGAGGATATCCACATTGATGAAACCACAGATCCAGTGAATTTTCAAAGTAAATGTAAGACACTGTGGTAGGTACTAGGGCAGGGGTGGGGAACCTGCGGCCTCAAGGCCACATGTGGCCCCTAGGTCCTCAAGTGCAGCCCTTTAACTGAATTCAAACTTCACAGAACAAATCCCCTTAATAAAAGGATTTGTTCTATAAAACTTGGACTCAGAAGGCCATACCCAAGGACCCAGAAGGCCACATGGGCCCTCAAGGCTGCAGGTTCCCTACCCCTGTACTAGGTTATCAGAGGAAAAAGAATCAAACAAACTTGTCCTACCCTAAATTTAAGGGGCTTATGTTCTACTGAATTCCTATAGAGTCTGATATAGTTGAAACTATGGACCAGGAAAATGCTTCTGGATAAGGAATGCAATCTTGGATTTGGGGCCTTACAGCCCAAGATGACACTTAGGATGTCATAATTGAATTTTGGCAGGACTCTCTGCTCTGTTGAAAGTGGTATGATTAATAGGATCCTTCCTCAATTGTATGTGCATCATACTGGTATACCTCCTTGTTTCTTTTGAATTTAGATAGAATCTGCCTTGTGTATGATACAAGATGCAAATGCAGATTATGTGAACATAATTTCATAATAAGACAGGAATTAATTGACAGAAAGCTGAACAATGGTGTGACAGGCATCTTTAAAAGGCAGGAATGTGAAAGAGAAAAATTGAGCGAATATGATGATAAAAGAAAATTGGAGAGAGTGGGAATTAATTAAGACCTGAAGTAAGAAGGCCAATAACCTGTGAACATTGTTCTAAGTTGGATTCACTCACTCATTTGATATTTAGTAAGTGCTTATCTTGTGCATAGTGCTAGGCTAGACGTTATAGGGTATACAAAGATGGAGTGGGAAAGAGGATTTATCTAACACTATGTGCCAGGCATTGTGCTAAGTACTTTACAATTATTTCATTTATACCTCACAACAACCCTACAAGGTAAGTATGACATAGGTCCTATATCCTCACAGTTTGTAATTCTGTACATGCTTATGAGGAAGACACAAAATAGTTCTTTTTTTTAGGTAATTGGGATTAAGTGACTTGCCAAGGGTCACATAGCTAGTAAGTATCAAGTGTTTGGTCTGAGGCTGGATTTGAACCCAGGTTCTTCCGACTTCAGGGCCGATGCTCTATCCACTGTGACCCCTAGCTTCCCCCACAAAATAGTTCAAATGAGTCTCAGGGTGGGATGAAGGAAGAGTAAGCAGTCTGGACTCTTAGGGGGCTAATAGGAGAGTAGCTGTGGCAAGGTTTTCCCTGAAGAAACAGACAGTAAAGATTTTGTTTTTCTCAAATATTGGGTACTGGGAGATAAGCCAGGAGTTGAAAGGGAGATAATGTTAAATGGAGGAACTAAATTAAAGCGGTAAGCTGGATGGAATTATACTCAGTAACTTCTGTGTGCTTGCATCTTGCTTACCTCTTAGAGTAGTCACACAGAAGCTACTCACATCATAGTTGTTGCTCTCTCCTTGCAAGCTGATTGGATAAAGATTCAGATGACAATAGAATGTAAGCTATATGAAAGCAAGAGCTATTTTTGTCTCTCTTTGCATTCTCATAATTAGCATAATGCTTATCACATAGTAAGGGCCTAATAAATGATTAATGATTGACTGAATGACTATATTACAGATATGCAGTGGGTCCCTGAAAAGGAATCAGAGGAAAAACATCTTTTCCTCTTCAGCAGTCAGAAAAAGTTATCATTCATGAAAAATGTATTTTATTTGTGGGGCACCATAGGCTGACACACAACATTCAAGATATGTAGTTTTTCCTTAATACTCCATACATATTTAGATTTCCCTATTCAAGAGAAAAGGCTTTATTAAAACAATTATAGTATTCTAGAATCACAGCTTCCAATCTATTTATTCACATTTAAACCAACCTACTTATTTTGCCATTCAGATTTCCAGGGAAGAAAACAGAATGAGACTTACTTATTAGAAGATTATTCAGTGTTTTAATTAAATATGCAATCCATTTTCCCCTTATTTTCTTAGTAATTGATGATGTGTTTGTTTGTAATGTGTTCTGGAGAATACTATATGATATAATTCCCTCAGAATATCTTTTGGGGAATACTAAATGGTTTTTGAGGGGTTTGAAGGAATTAATTTTTTTTTCAAAATGTCTAACCCAGTCATCAACATCCCAAAGAGAATTCTGTGTCAATTAATAATAATTTAAAAAATTGGACAATACATATCACAACTTTACTGGCTGTGGCTAGAGAAAGATACGTAAGCCAGACACTGTGTATGTACTCCTATCAGGCAAGATTCAAAAGGAATTTTGTGCTATTTAAACTATTGAAACAGTATGACTCATTAACATGATTTCGAAATGAAGCAGTATGGCAAAATGTAATGGTTGGTTGGCCAAGAACTCTGCATTCAAAGCCAGCTTCCAATACTAGCTTTGTGACCATGAATAGGTCACTAGAGTTCTCAGAGACTCAGTTTCCCTATCCTTAAAATAGGGATAACAATACTTCTTTACCTCACAGGTATTATGAGGTAACTGCTTTGTAAATGGGAACCCCTGTTATTAGTACAGTTGAAGTGTACTACTCCTAAAATGATACTGTAGAGTTGCTATAAGACTAAAGGGGTGAGGTTATTCAAACAGCTGCCTTAGGAAAGCAAGTGTAGTATAATGGATAGTGTGCTGAACTTGGAGTCCAAAAAATCTGGGTTCACATTTCCCTTCAAACACTCAATAGCTCTGTGACTCAAGGTATAAACTCAACCTATAGGGATTAACAGCATCTGCCTCAGAGCAGTTGTGAGAACCACATGACATGATGTATAGGTAAAGTACTTTGCAACCTTATAGTGTTATATGATGATGTTTAGTCATTTTTTGTCATATTTGACTCTTTATTCACCCCGTTTGGGGTTTTCTTGACAAAGATATTAGATGGCTTTGCCATTCATTCTCCTGCTCATTTTACCAATGAGGAAACTGAGGCAAACAAGGTTATGTGACTTGCCCATAGTCACACAGCTAGTAAGTGTCTGAGGCCAGATTTGAACTCAGGAAAATGAGTCTGCTTGATTCCAGATTGTTATGTAAATGTTAGCTATTATTATTCCAACCCATGAATACAGATGTTGGTAGAAAATTGGTTTTATTTCTTCCAGTGGCAATCTATTTTCACTATTTCTAAGGCATCTTTCCTTTTCAGATGATGTGACCTACATCCTTTTTTGCCACAGGAATATATGCAAAATAGTTTTTTTCTTCTACTTTATATCAACTGGAATCACACCTAAAAGCATCAATGGTGGCCACATTAGAGAATAAAAGGTCCCAAAGCATCCATTTAGCATCCATTTCATACAATGAATAAGTAAGGCAAGAAGAAAATTCCAGCACTGCTATTAGCACTTACTGCAAGGATGATCTGGAGAGAACTGTGTGCCACTTCTATGTACTGGTACTCGAGCAAACACCCTGAGACCGTGATATAGCGATGGTCCTCTGGTGCCCAGTCGGGGGCTGGTGTCACTGATGTCACAGTACATCCTGGACCATTTTCCATCCACCAAGAACGGTGCATTGAGATATTAAAAGTCAGAATCAGATCTGTTTCCTGTAAGAAGACAATTTATAGGGGAGAGAATTATTTCTTGAGCATTAGTCTGCATACTCTGGGTTGATAACTGTTTTGTGTTTCCAATCCACTGTGAGAGGTGATCTCAGCCATCATACTGAAGAGGAAAGCATCAAAAGTAAAAGGCGATCAGCTCCACTTAAAGATTATGTGTCTATGGACTCCACTTCTGAAGATTTGTCTGACAGACACAGTGCAATGAAAAATATCTTATTAGAAGTGGCTCAGCAGGAAAAAAATTCCCCATAGCTTACATTGCTTTCAGCAGTGGAGAGCATTAGTACTTAGGGACTCTTAAAGATTTCAAAGTGTGACCATTGAAACAGTTTTACCACTTTGGATCTGGCATAATTCCATTTTGTTATGGACCTGCTGTGCATTTCCTGTCTCTCAGAAGTACTCACTTTGGGAAAAAATAAGAAAGATACTGATTTGGAATTAATTCCTCTTGGAAATTCAGGGTCATTTTGTATTTAGTCATGACTAATGGTACAACTGATAATAGCTTTCCCAAATGAATTCACAAATAATGTGACTCAGATTCACCCTTGCAGCCTCTTTAATATCTTACACAATTACTGACCATAACACAAGTCTACTCATTCCCCAACATAGGAGTTGCTATTACTGTCTTTTCAAGAAAAAAAAATGTAAGTATTCATCTATCTTCATGAGGATGGAGGCTACATCTTGATCAGTAAACAATATTTCTTACTGGATGAAGGCTAATGTACTGGATATTGTGGAGAGGTAGAAAAGGAGTGGATGGGATGATCACTACCTTTAAGGAACTTGATACTCATAAATATGTAAACATGAAAAAGCCTAGAGAACAAAATAGAAAAGAAATAAACACATACAGAGAGAGATAGAAAGAGAGAGATACAGAGACAGAGACAGAGAGACAGAGAGGAGGGAGAATTGAAAGCTTAGATGCTCTTTTGTAGAAATATATGTGCGGATATATCTGTGGAATTTGTGAAATAGTAAGAATGCAAGGTTATCATCGTTATTGTTGTTATTAAGAAATAAGTCTAACAATTATATAGCAAAATCCATTTTTTCAACAAGTTTTCACAAATATTTTGACATGAAATGTTTACAGAAAACATGGTAGAGTAGTAAACAGGAGCTTTGTTTTTATACAGAAGGAAAGTAAAGTACAGAGGAGGTTAAAACCTTGACTAAATTCACCCATAATAAGAGGCAGATGCAGCATAAGAAATTGGATCTCCTAACTCTCATCTCTGTCTCCTTTTTCACTAGATTATATAGAATGAATTGAATGGCAGAACTGAAGTGGGAATGGCTTAGAAAGATATTGATAGAGGGGAATATGCCATACAGTAAAAGCAGATAGCACCCATTTGCTATGCATATATTGGCTCCTCCAGAAATATGAATTCATGAGGATAAATGACAACTTTTTAGGACAATAAATCTAGATGGAAAGTAGAATCATCCCAACGTAAAGTGGCTACTGTGTTTGGGGAAAAATGTGAACATTGCAATTCCATCTTTGATTGTTTGAACGACAAGCCATACTGCCATATTGAGGGGACCTGAGGTCTAACTCTGAGTCTGCCACTGAGGTGTTGTATGTCTTACAAATCATTTAATCTCTCTGGGCCCAAGTTTCCTCATCTGTAAAATAAAAGGGTTGGTCTAGATGGTTTCTAAGGTCCCTATTCTCTGTGAAAACACATCAGACAGACTTAAGATAGATATAATGTCATAGGCTGGGCCACTGGACCCAGATGGCTCTGGAGGAGAAAGTGTGGCTGGTGACTTAACCCTCCCTCATTTAAGTCCAATTCACTTGCAAGTCATGGCAACATCTTCCTTATATCGTGGTCCTCTTCAATAACGAAGGACAAACCACAATATCATGTCACAGAGAGGGAGAAAAGCATCTCTTGCTCCTTGTAAATAAAAGCTGAAAGACACTTAAGAGACCAGTGTGTGCATGTTTGAGGTGTAGCTTTTGTAGTTAATTTTTTATGATCATAATTCTTTTCAAATATAGGAAGAAAAAGCTACAATTTCAACAGCATGCTTTTCACCAGTGTAGGCTGAACTGCTCAGCTTTGACTTGGTTGGTAAATCCTATCCAGGTGCCTGAGGCTTAGATAGGTAAAAGTAATTGTTGCGTTCATATGGCTACTTTGTGTGCCAGAAGTGGGACTGAACAAGTTACCCTGTCTCTGCAAACTTCAAAATGAAAGTCAACAGTTGAGAATTGAATTTGAAATTGACACTATCTGAACTGACCTAGCATTTTCTACCACATGGTTTTTCTAGTGAAACTGTCTTCTGGGAACCAAGATGAGAGAGCATTGGAGATGCAGAACAGAGACTTGCCTTTTGTACCATGTAGTTGTTTCCTGTAATGAGCTGGAGGACAGGGGTTTCTCCAGGAAAGAGTCATTAGGGAATTCCCAAGGGTTTAAATGGAATATCCTTGAGAAAAAAAGGGACACTGGCTTGTTTGGCTCTTGGAATTCCTAGTTTCCTTTGAGACTCAACTCAAGTACCATCTACTGTTGGAGATATTGCCCATCGCCCCAGTTGCTAGTATATTCTCCTTAAAGGTCACCTTATATTGGATTTGTGTATGCCCTGCAATTATACATGTACATGTAGTCTCTCTCAGTGGAATATAAGCTCCTTGAAATCAGGAAATTGTTTCATTTTTTTGTTTGCCTTTGTTTCCCTAGCACTTATCACACTTATTGGCATATAGTAGGAAATAAATAAATAAATGCTTGTTAAAGTATTGATTGCAGAGTGTGAGGTGCAAAGCACCAAGTTTTGAGAATGAGAAAAGTGCATTCCAGCCTCTACTCTGGCACTAGTAAACTACCTAACATTGGGCCTCTCTGAACCTCTGTTTTCTCACTAAAAAAATAAATAAATAAAGTGGTTGGACTAATACCAGATGACCTCTTGGCTCTAAAATTCTGTGATAACAGATAATTGTATTCAAGACAAAAAAAAGGCAATACAATATGTAAGCAACAAAAGAAGGGCTTTTAATTAAAAAAAGAGCCTCGGAAATATGAAGCAAAGTCTTAGTCCTTCTCTGCTATGAGTAAAGATGAGTCATGGGGCAGCAAACTGCAGTCATCAATTGACCATGAGAGCCTAAGAGATCTGTTGGAAGGTCAAACTGTATTTTCATGTAAGGGTTGTCAAATCTTTGTTTGCTAATGAGCCTAATTCATGGGGATAAGGAGAAAGAACTGATGGGCACACCTACTCAGAATTGACAGGCTTCTCTGTCAAGTAGCTTTGGGTAGAATATTAACTTTCATTCAAGTGGTACAGTGGAAAGAGTGCTGAGCGTAAAATAAGGAAAACCTGAGTTCAAATCTGGCCTTAGACACTGTGACCCTGGGCAAATCGTTTAACCTCTGTTCACCTCAGTTTCATCAAATGTAAAATGGTGATAATAATAACAATTACCTTCGAAGGGTTGTTGTGAGGATCAAATGAGATGATATTTGTAAGAATGCACTTAACACAATGCCTGGCACATAGTAGGCATTATACAAATGCTTATTGCCTTCCCCTTCCACTTCAATCTTTATATTTAGGCAGGAAAAACTGGACATATTTTGTTAAACTTGATTTTAATGTATAAAGATGCTTATAACTGTGCTGTCAAGAAAGCATTTCTGCTCACATTTTATGTGTCCAAAGAAGTCTCCTACTAAATTTAGCAAAAATATCAATAAATTAAAACCCATATTTCTGATCTTTTCCTCCTTTCAATAGTTGGCTGTTTTGTTTCACAAACCTTTGACACAGTTTGGTCTCTCTCCAAACTTCCTTTTCCCCACCACTATATAAACGTGTAGATAATAATTATTAAGAAGCTTAAAAAGCATCCAAGTAGGAGCAATATTAAATCTCAATAATAAGAGAATTTCTTGAAAATCAAATAATTGAAACTCATGTTTTCCATGGATTTAGATCTGAGAAACATTTAAAACATAAAGTGGGTCATAAGCAGCACTATAGGAAGACTTTTAAATCTGATTATAATTATACACCCAAATCTGTATGGTGACATGTGGATTAACATCTTACACTCTAGCCAGTCTTCTAGCTTTGAAAGTCTTCCAAAAGTTTATAGTCAAGGCCTCCATTACTAGACATGTCATTTTTCAAAATGACTGGTTTTGATATTTTATATAAAAGCTGTTATTAGCACTAAAACACTTCTTCAGACAGGGGATGAGTGCATGGAGATCAAAACAATGAACCAAAGTGGTTCAACAAATAAGATGTGCTTCTATAATAAAAAAGTGAATGACAAGTAAATGGGAAAATGATATTAGCAAACATCTACTATTTTATGATGTAACTAAGTTTTACTGTATAGCTTGTGCCAATTGAAGAAGAGACTAAACATATATTGCTGATAAAACAAATGATGCCAAAGAGGATCAACTGCATGGAGTAGAGCATGGAGGATGAATCCTTGAATCAGGAGTTGAGAGTTGTCCTTACAGTTCTCAAATGCAGTCTCTGAATTACCAATCTTGCCTTTTGGTTCAATGGGGATTAAAAGTTATCCTTGCAAAAGGTCTCATTTATTAACTCTTTTGAGCAGTTAGACAACTTTGAGATTAGGTATTATCAAAATGTGATACAGATATTTTTATTTTTATCATTAGAGATTTATGTCAGTAATTTGTTGTTTTCCATTCAAAGAATTTCATTCGCAGAAAGACAGATATATCTATACGACAGTGAAGGAATCTTTCAGAAATGGGGAAAACAAAAGGAATTGGTGAATTAATTGCTGTCAAGATGCCCCCAATTTTCAGGCAGTTTCTTGCTAGGACACAATGAAACAACAATCCATGGTTATAGTAGCATTGAGGGAACCAAAGCAGTGTGGCTACTTTTCATCCCTCTTGTTTAGGCCCCTGTGCTTGCTATTTATTTGGCTAACATTTCTCCTCACTGAC